GCCACCCTCAAGCCTCTACCTTTTAGAAACTAGACGTCCTGAAACAATTAGACATCATACCTAAATAATTCATCATTTCCCCGTCAGTCTTGCTCTTCTACATGTCCTTTAAACAGACAGAGTAAGCTGCCAAAGAAGCTAAAGTGAATAACAGCAGCAGGTGCCTTTTCAGCTGCAGCTTTGTAGTCTACAGAGGCTGCTGAGCTGTTATTTTAGTGGCCCACTGGTGAGGAGCAGGGGGTGGCTGGGAAATGGACCTGGTGGTTGACCCAGAGCCCCAGAGCTGTCCTATTAGCACTGCGCTTTCAACTAAATGTTAGCAGCTGTAACCCCTGCCTGCAACTGCACTTAAATCCTCCCAGAAACGGTTCTGAAACAACCTCGTACAAACCTGTCAATGCAAAGAGGCCAAAAATACAGTTTTATTGCCTGTTTAACTGTGTAAAGTTGTGTGTGTGGGTGTGTGTTTGTGAGCACTGACAGATTGTGAGACTGGGCCGGCACGATTATTACCCATCAGCATTCATCAGAAGGATTTAAACATACAGTTAAGATGCTCCTTAAGCCTCTGCTAAGTCAGTATGTTCTTCCCGACCATTTCATTATCAAATGCATAATCATCTTCTACCTTGGACAGAACCAAGGCCTAAGGCCCTACCTGGTGTCCTGGATTTCGTTGCAGCCACTCAAGACCACTGCCCCACCCAGCAGTTGCTTTATGAACACAGGAGCCCCATAAATGAAATTAAGGTGTCAATTAGTCAATTACGGCATAATAACTCTGAGGGCAGACATTTAGAGACAGAGAAAACCTTAGCTAAGTTCATTTCCTCTGGCCCAGGAGCCTAACGCTTGGCACACGTCACTCCCCACCCAGACTCGCTGAATAAGGGCCCCAGTGCTCTCCCTAATGTTATTTTCCCCTGGATATCTTTTTTGATCAACAATTTCCTTCCATGGGTTTGTTTTTCAGATGCATGGGATGCACTTTTTCTCTCCCCAATTTGGCTAGGGAGAATTTTATAATTTAGTAATTAAAATCTTTGTTAGGCTTTAGAAATTGCAGCTAATTGAATTTAATGGGAAGATGAATTTCAATTTTATTTGATTAGCAGGACCCCTGGCATAGGTATTTATGGAAAAAAACTCTACAAAAATATGCTGTGTGGGCTAAGATGGCATAATAGAATTACAGATAATCAGATTTCACTGTCATGAATTTCACTCTAATTTCAGTATAATTTTCCATTAGATAGCTGGTTTACAAATATTTGCTCATCTGCGATGGGAAAGGCTATCTGTCTAAAACGATTACGGAGCGAGCCTTCAGAAATATGTCCCCTTTTTTCCCCTCCCTTTTAAAAACCAGATTGCGAGGGATCAAAATTAGGAAGATTGCATTATGGATGTCTGCATCCGGGAGAGCAATGGAGGGAGATATGATGATTACGGCCGGGGGATGAAAGCAGTGTCAAGAAAAATGTATGACTCAAAAACATAGGCCTATTCTATCAACAAAATCTCTGCTCTCAGCACACTGCCGCCAAGCAACATGGTATATCATAATTCATGTAACATTGTTAAGAGTGCGGGAATAAAAGAAAGGCAGTGCTGCCTGTTGACAAATATTTACCTTATGCCTCTGTCAGTGTCTGAGTTAAAGTGCAGAAATGGCTTTTGTCCTGTTTTCTGGCACACTGCATATATTTCAGCACAGATGCAGTCGAACAACAATCTTAGAAGTCAGATGATATTCTTGAGAATGACTGCGTAAAGTCCTGCCGATGATCAATCATCACAGCATATTGTATTGCTGTCATCAGTGTTGTGAGAATTTTTGTGTGTAAGTTTAATATTCATCTCCTCCTCTGCTTAAAAAATAAATATATAATGCAATACAAACAGACGTGAGATGGAATAATATTCTGCATCACAGACAACCTCCAACAACACGGCAGTGAACTTTTGTTGAATCCTACTTTAAAAGTCCCTGCTTCAGAATTAAGCATTTACACGTTCAATTTCCTGCCAATTTAACAACAACATGACAGTGAATATTAAGGATAAACTCGCTGCGTCGTCTGCGGGAAAACACAAACTATTTTAATTTGTGTTGTTTGAAGTTGGATGAAGTACAAGTTGTGGAAACGCTGTGCTTCCTGTGTAAACCCTCAAACATGTCCACTCCACCAGTTAGGGCCGACCTCCACCCCACGCCAACTATCACCCACTCTGTCCCCACCCATTCGCTCAGTCACTCTTTGCCCCGAACTGCCACAGACAGCAAGAGGGGTTCAAAAACACAATCTGACTCTCGGCAAAGGTCAGATTTCTCACTCGGCATGTCTCTGGGCTTTTGGCACAAAAGCCACTGAATTCACATCTTTCAACTGGGCGCTAGCTTTTGTCCGGGAGAGTGGAGAACTGGGAGTGGGCCCTGCACTAGACCAGCCCCTCCTGGAGTGCACTGTCAGAGGCAGCCAAACGTCGGGCTGGCGGCCCTTTGACTGATGTACCCCTGCCATGTCACGTGCACGGCATCGCGCACCCACGCTCACACTTGTGCACGCTCCACCTTGCCCTCAACATTCTCCATCGTGCTCTATACAATACACACAGACCACATCAAACAAAAATCCCCACAGCTCCCTTTGAAAAGTAATGGTTTTGCTGCAAAAGACGGGCAGCTCCAGGGCCAGAGGGCTGTTGTGCACGGACACGAAACCCTTCCCTCCAGTGTTCCCCAGGAGTCACTGCCTAAACCAGTTGTACCCACAATACACAGTACCAAGTTAGCATTAATGCTGTTATCCTCTTCTGACAGGTACAGATGCTAGGAACAAACTTCCATCTGATTTTAAATGAAATATATAAAAACAACCTTCACAGCATTGTGATTCGAAGTATTTGTTAAGTCAACCGAACATTACCTTGTAGTTATCACTGAATGAATAGTACTATTGAAAACTACTATCGAGTATTACTTTATTGAGCCATAGGAAGTATATGGTAGTGAGAAAATATGAAGGAATGATGCCCTCTGTCTCTATTTTCTATTTCTTTTCAAAGTGGTCACAAAACATCTGGGTTAGAATGTTTACCTAGTAATAGAAGAGCTAGCAGCTAGCAGTATTAGCTTGACTTTTTTTTAGTAATTAGTAAGAATACTGTTGTAGGTAATTAATCTCCTAAATCAGTGGTTCTCAAACTTTTTGATACTCTGTACCACCTTAGAAAACATTGAGCTCTCTGAGTACCACCATGATGACCAACATTAGAATCCCCCTGCTCGTTCCACATTGCACGTTGCAAGTGATCCCATGATTCTGCGCTGCCTGTGCTTTAGTGAGCAACAGACTTGCATTGCAGTAATAAAAAATAAATAAATAAAAAGACCAGACATCCTATTTCATAAAAATGAAGTAGCTACACATTTTTTCTAAATGTTGTATAAATTGTGAGTGGGTTTGTTTCAGATTTATTCAGTTGAAAATGTAAATGTGAAAATGTGAATTTTCCCCGCGTACCACTAGAGAGCGCTTGCGTACCACCGGTGGTACGTGTACCGCAGTTTGAGAACCACTGTCCTGCATAATAATTTCTATAATAAATCTTTATAAATAATAAAAATATTTAATCCGTTTGGGTATAAGAGAATTAAATTTAAAAAAAGGTACGAGCACATCCTTCAGTTGTGTACTCTGTAAAACAAAATCAAGCCTAGCTAAGGGTTTCTTATCAAACTTGTTAGACATCAGGTTGTGGGGCAAGAGGTAGAAACATGTTCATTTGAACACTTGAACACTTCCATTAAATTCTGTTATATTGTACATTTAAGTTAAGAGAATATTCCCAATGATACTCTTTACAGTTTACTTTCAGTGTCAGGCTAATTCACTGAATATCTCTGCTATACTATATGTGACTTTTTATGTTAACCATGTGATCTTATAGAGCAAATAAAAATTGTGTGTTAATGCAAACTGTATTTACAGCACATTGTTAGAGTAAGGGTGGAGCCTGTACAAAGAAGCTCTTTTATGGAAATAGTTCTTTATGTGGGTTAAAGGAGGAGACAAAGCTGTTTTTTTTTTCCATTATTAAACAGGATGAGTCATCATAATTTCAAAATCCACCAAAACCTGTTTTATGTACATACTTTGGACTCTGCTGACAGCACTCAGGAACTGAAGCCAGGACTGTGTATCATTGTGTTATGGTTCACAGTCATAAAGTCCTTCATTTCCTCTTTTCTATAACCAATAAATGCTAGTTACACACGGCACCTGTGTAAAAATAAAAGAGGAATACCGCTAGTGACCTTTCAGTGTATAGACCTTTTTTTTTTAACTAATTCTGTATCACTTTGTAAACTTCATATTGCTGACATAGTGTTTGCAGCAAATGGTCACTAGGTACAAATGGTCTGACGGCACTTTGCATGCCACTGCGGAAGAAACTGCCAGGCAAATAAGAGGTTTGTCTTATAAAGTATTCATTGTCACCTGGTAACGGCCGTCGTTTATCATTTCACCTGAAATTACAATGAAAACTGATATCTTATCAGAGCTAGGGAGGCAGAAAGAGTCTGCACTGAGGGAGAGAGGCAAGGAACGGCTACTGCACTGCACTGAAATGAAGAAGAGAGACAGTTTGGTGGGAAAAAAAGTCATCAAGGTCTTCCACTAAATAGTTATAAAAACCAACGACGAGGAGTCACGAATGGCCATCGTATCAATATACAACTTTGTCATTATAATATAAAACATTTATTAATGATCTAATCTGCGAACAACCGCCTTATCAAAGATCCCCTTGTTTACCACAGCTGTAAAAAAAAAAAAAAGATTAAAGTGCAACTATGTAAAACTTATCAGAGACACACTTTTAAACTAAAATAATGCCAATCCAAATGTATTCTCCCAAGCATGTAATATTTTTTCCTCAGCAAAAACCTTTTTTTTTTTCAAAGTGTTATGCTTTTGCCCTCATTTGAATAGAGGCAGAGGAGGCTCCACCCCAAGAGAGTTGAAAGGCTAGAAGACCACAAAGATGGAAAAGGCCAGCCCACTGAGGGAGGGAGGAAAAAGTGCTCCTGTTCCTCTGCCATAATTTCCTATCAGGCTATTCAGAAAACATCACCAACAGCTTGGTCTGTGCGTGTGTGAGTGTCTATGGGAGCGGAGCACACAGAGAGCAAGAGAGAGAGAGCCCGCCAGCGAGAGAGGCAGCGCCGCGCAGAGAGAGAGAGAGAGAGAGCGAGAGCAACAAAGGGGGAGGCTACATTTTCTTTCACCTACCCCCCTCAAACCACAGGAAGGAGGGGCCAGACCCTAAGCTGCCAATCAAATCCGCTCGTGGCAGCCGGCATTATCTCAGCAACAAACTATTGACAGATTACATGTCAAGGAGTTTAGTGCATGATTGAAGGAAGCCTTATTTTATCTAGTTACTTTTCCACTTTATTCCTCCCTCCACCAACCAGCATTCGAATGACTTTCTGACAGAGTTGAGTAATATTATGAAAGTTACATGCCTGAGAGGATTTAACTTCGACTTGGCTGAATATGGTGAGTACTCTTCTCTTCTGTCTTTGTCAGATATGTTTTATTAGCTGACACTCTGAGCTGTGCCTTAATCTACAACTAAATATACAGTGAGGGCAAGTTGTTGAGGATTTAACTGTGTGCCAGTGTGTACGTATAGCCAAGTGTTGCGACACCCTTATTTATAGCTCTTTGACGGTCCCTAAGGTGACTACAATATCAAATATGATTTCTCCAGCACACGACCCATGACGCCGCCTTACACTCACACATAGTACACACACACACACACACACAGACAGACACACGTCAAGAAAGTTCACCAAAGCCAGTTTCATTTTCTATTGTCAAAGTGCATTTCTCCTTTAGGGACAACTCAGCCAAATAAAACTCCATTTCAATCTTTGATCTATATTTTTTTCATGACAGCTTTTTTTATTTATTATTTATTTATGTTTGTTTCTAAAGCCAGTATTTGTTAGTATAGAAGTACAGGTATTGATTCTACCCACAGAGGTACTCGTAGTGCCATTAGGGTAAACTGAATGGCCTAAGGGTTTGTTGCCAAGGGGACATAGCAAACAAACTGTTGTGTTGCTTGTGTTGTTACACATGTAAAGGGAGCGGGAATTAACATCAATAATAGCGTCTTTTCAGGTGTTTCTCCTTAGTTTCCTCACAGCACACAGGCTCATGTTGCAATAAAAAACTGAATGTGTTTCTGCGAATCTAATGGCATCACATGTCAGGTTTTAAAAACATGTAAACGATATTAAATACTAGATAAGAAGTTTAGGGACATTAGCAATGGGGACGGGGGGCTTTTTAAAAATGTGTAACTGTATCGGGTTCATAGTGGTTCTGTGTGTACTTTTGGTCAGGACAAACTTGTCCACTATCACTGGACACTGACACCTAACAGTGTCATGTCCTCCACACTTCATTCATTTGTGAAACGACGTTGTGTACGTTTTTATAAATACATTAAATTTAAGAGTGACTGGTACGTTTTAGTTTTACCGTCCTGTAAGTGTATGTTTGTACTATGTGTGCGTGTAATTTCTGTTTGCATTGAGCGCTGCCTTCAACATGTGTGTGTGTGTGTGTGTATTAATAGTCATCGTGTTTCATCATTTGCCCCTTCACTAAACAGCAGTCTTAAATGAATCTCCCCTTTTATCACAATAAATGTTGTTTTCAATTTTAAAAAAAATATATATATTTGAAACACATGTCCCCAGCATATTTTCGGTAGACATTGTGAAAATATTTTTGCAATGAATTTGGATTTGACAAAAATTTTATTTAAATTTTAAATTTTATTACTTAAAATGATTATTTTGCTATAATTCTTTAGATACTTACAAAAAAAAAAACTGCACTTGAGGAGTGACTTTTTACTTGGCAGTTACAACTATTGAATTTTTTCCAACTCATCTATTTGCCAGTCATTTGAATCCTGTTAACAACTGTTTGATTTGTCAGGCTATAGTGTTTAGCCGTAGTGTTTCTGACCTTAAGCAGACTTTACGTATTTTTGTGAAACATTTCTGAAAAAAAACTGTAATATAATATGTTGTTTTTATTTAATTAACTTAAAATCCTTAAAGACCTCTATGACCACAAGGTTTCTCAAAGACTACGACAAACACAGAGTCAGACATGAGGGCTCAGGTATTTTGTCTGGTTATTTAAGATACCCTGTGTTATGGTTTAAAATAACAACAGACAAATACGACTGTTATCGTGACACACCTTAATTTAAAACTTTTTTGTCAGCTTGGAAACAGTTTTCTTGCCTCCTATGAGTCATAATGTTGATTGCCTTCTCCCTCACTGAGTTGTCTCATTAACCCTTTGTGGCCCTCTCCAACTTTTACGGCCTTCCACAAAACCAGAATGAAATGAGGGAGAAAAACAAGCCCAGGTCTGAAGGCCCTCAATAACCTTTTATCACAATTTAGCAATAACCTGAATCAATTTGATGTCTTAAGCAATAAAATATGCTGTTGCACTCCTATTTCTGCCGCTCCTCGGATGACAGTAAATTTACATTTTTTAATTAAACTAGCCGGAATTTTTATTAGGGGGCTGGGCTATGCTAATGGGAATGTTGTGTACAGCAGATTAACAGAGTTTTGAAATAAATTTAACAGGGAGACATTTGGTTGAAAAAAAAAATATGCGAGTCATTGTCTTTAACCTCTTTCATGCCGATTTCTCCTGGGGATCCTTGTAGTCTAAGGAGCCTTGCCCAGGAAGAGTGCTTCACAGCAACGAGGTGATTAGTGTCGCCTTGTCAACCGAGGAAGTACGCTCACTTTCTTAGAATTGATCTGTTCAAATCAGGCCAAAATATATGATTATTTTAAACCATCCCAACCCATGCATTAGAATAAACAGAGGATATTTGTACAGTTAGAAAAAATAACTAACGACATTTTAATATTTCAGGTGTTTTATTTAACTTTTTTAAATTTAAAGAAATATACGATATGTCTTTAATAATTTCACATAATTTTTTTTAAATGTACAACTGTCGAGTGTTTTTCTGTTTTTATCCTCTCATCTTAATTAACTAAACCTTTATATAAATGTAGTTTTTATTTATATAGCTATACCAAAAGTAGAAAAATTAAAATACAAAAGAAGAGAATTACAGCAGTTAAAGGATGCATATATGTTTGTGTAGTTTTATGGACCGCTCTCAGCATTTGATTGATGTTGCGCAAGTCTGTGTGTGTGTGTGTGTGTGTGTTGTGCCTGGTTTTAGAAGAGTGGCTGAGGGAAAACGAGGGGGTACATCGACAGCAGACAAGAGGAGGGAGGGGTGTGTGTGTGTTTGTGCGTGTGTGTGTGAGACAGAGACAGAGAGAAGGACAGCTGAGTCCAGAGCATGTGCCCGGTCATCAGACACAAGCCACCCAAAACCATAATTACCCTAACCCCCATCTTTTAATGCCTTAATAACACCAACTGCCCTTTTTACTTCACGGCAGAGAGAAACGGAGAGAGGGGGAGAGAGATACAATATCACAGATCACACAATCAAATAAAGTCCAGAGAAAGAGTCCTGGGCTCCTTGATACGGGCCAGGACGGAGCCGAGTGGCATCACCACCCGTCGTCTCCGCTCCTGTGCACTCATGCAGTGGCCGGGACCTAATTAAAACCTCAAAGCTCCCCGTCACCAATCTGGAGTAATGGCCTAATTAATACTGGGTGAAGAAATATTCCAGAATGATAAACAGGTTGCACCTTGGGTCTTCATTGCCTTTATTATCTAAAATATAACAAGCCTAGTTTTATTGTCACAGATAATACATGTTTGTTAAAGTGCTGCAGTAAATTTAAGGGACATAAAGATTTTTCAATTATACGATCTTTAAAAGTGTAGCAATTAATTTTATATATAATGTTAGAATTTTTTTAAAAAAAGTTTCCTTATTATTATATTTTTTTAAAAAAAATTCTTGCCCTGCCCTGCTTCTAATTCCCAGTTATTGTTGTTTGTCTGTAAGTCAAAAGTGAAGCTTCCTTTAACTTTTTTTTCAGGCTCTATTTTCTAATCTGTATATAAAATTATAATTTCATGCAAAGTAGGGGAGAATAATAATCTCCAGGCGTTGATATGCCATATAAGAGGGGAAAATGGGAAAATGAAGAGGCAATTAGCAGAGTGGAAAACTTCGGCACGTTGGTCTGAAAGCGTGGTCTCCACTGGCCATGAATGAATTTGCATGCTCTGCTTATCGAAGCGCACTTATTTGGCCAGCTGAAAGAGAGATTAAGCCGGCACAAAATGTGGTGACTAATCCTTTTAAATGTGGCGGGGGGTCTTTGCGGTGTGAACCAGCCCCTGCTTAGGTTAGCGCGTACGGAACGTAGCCAAGGGAGAACTTTTTGGTACAGGTGCCTGCGTCTAGAAGAATGCAGCAGCCGACGTGAGGTTATTTAATGACGAGGACTGTGATTGACACTGGTAATAAATTGATTGTTTATCTGCTGACCCTGTTATCTGTTAAACAAATACAGCAGGTGGGTCAGACCGAGTGGAGATAAGGCGACAAACACTCTACGTAGTCCAGTATCAGTTGGTTTCTTGTTTTTAATTAATCAATTATTATTAGAGATAAAAGTAAAATATTATTTTAAAACCTAAAAAAAAAGATGGGATGTAGAGGTCAGAGGTCTAGTTCCTCTTCAAAAAAAAATTTTTTTTTATTGATAATCACGATGTAGTTTCATTTCTCGGTCACCTCTGTCTTTCACAAGAACGCAGCGACCGCTCTAATGTCGCTGCTTCACAGTTGATATGAGGGAAGAAAAACAGCACACACACAAACAAACACGAAACCTCTTTTTTCTGTCACCTTTAGCGAGGAAGTGTTTGCTCTGGCGAGTTACAGAGCCAATACTCCTGTCCTCCTCCTGTAATTGACTGCAAACAGGAAAGTAGTGACGTTTAAACACTGCCCTCCTCTCTGCTCGGTGTCTCACACACACACACACACACACACGTGCACAGAGTGTGAACTCGACACCCCTCAACTTCAGATTCCCCCACTCTGCCGTGTGTTTTTTCATGTGACTTTCTATTTCCCTGGGTCAGAAACAGGCAGCACCGGCAATAATTACTGTCTGTACATGATAAATCTGAAGCCCAGCTGTTCATTTCTGTCACTGGCAGCAGAGACAGAGAGGAAGGAAGAACGCTAGAGAAGAGAGAGGCGAGAGTCGGGAGAGAGAGTGTGTGTGTGTGTGTGTGTGCGTGTGTGTGTGTGTGTAGCAGGGAGGTGGGGGGGTTGTGGGGGTCAGAGGAAGAGCCCAGGAGTTTTGCTGTTTGTCGTATTTTTTTTTTTTAAACTCGGTAACTTGATAGGATTACATGGTTCTGGGCTCACACCTGTTAAGAAGCTGTTAGCAGAACAGTTGGCAGTTCCACAATCGGAGCTAAGCCATGTTCTCCTCTCGCTGCTCCTCGTTCTGCATCCTCTCCTTTGGGGGATTTTGTCCCCGGTGTCA